GTCGAGAAACTCCAGATGTATTTTAAGAAAATCGTGTTCATGGGAAGATGTCTATGTAGTTTATGATCCAAAACTGTGATGACGTCAGCTCAAAAATTTGGTAGGAAAACTATTAAAACGTACAAAAAAATATGATTCGACACCACCCCTGCTTTTGACCTTATGTATGTAAATTTTTGGAAAAAACTTTAAATCCGGACCCACATTTCCCCTGTTTGTAATTTAAATATTCACCCTATTTGTCTATTTTGACATATCGGAATTTCACCTTACTCTAAATTGCTTTAAACGAAAATAAAAATTGGCTACAGCTATGACAAATTTTGATAGCATAAGTTTTTCATTTTCATTTTTTTTAATTCTCCATATTCATCTTATGCTAGATTTTTATCGTAACATAACGTGGAATTGCCCAAATGAAAAAATTCATTTCCCTAATGAATGTAATATGTAATAGGTAGGTGCTGAAAAACGTGCATGCACACCAGATATTAAAATACTGTTACGATGATCGGGTATTTAAAATCGGCGTGATTAAAACTCAACAATTTATTTCTTAGTAACTCAAATTTACACGACTAATTACACAGCCATTATATACAGAATAATTCCGACTGGAATGGATTTGACTAGACCCTACTTCTTCCATTGGACTTCACTGACTGTTCTCGACTGTGATTCCCATTTAAACAGCCAGGCGGTCCTTCTCGAAAAGTCGCCGTCACCGCTTCTAACCTTTTCTTGAGCGAACGCCGTCCGGCCGGGCCGCCGTCACCGATGATGGGTCACCCATCATCGCCGCACATACTAAAAAACCGATAGGCGTCGTACCGGGGCGGCGTATGAGTCCATTTCGTAACAATACTACACATTTAACTCTGCTGCTGTTAGTTGTTATTATTTATTAACGAACAAAATATACATCATTGCAAGTAGTCTATAAAAATGTAGTTTATACTGCTGTACACAAATAGGAAACTTGCTTTTATCCCTCTACTGACGAATTGTTACTTGTTTGTATCTACAGCTACAGCTTCATTTAATATCAGGAAAAAACACAGTTACCTTCATGTTACTATAACAACGTGTAAGTATTAAAAACATTAAAAGATCGATGTACTTTTATAGTACGTAAACACTGACGTGTCAGAGCCCTTAGACCCACTTGAATAACGCTGCCGACCCATTTATCGTAATTTACCATGGTTGTCGTTCTTCTGTGAAGTGGCAAAGAGCGGAACTTACGAAATTATGTATGACTTCACTCGCCTTTGCAAACATCTCAATTGTGAGTATCTTCAGCTGCATTCAAATGCACACTTACGTGAACATGAATTGTAGTGCCAATAAAAAGGGTAATTGCTTTAAAATCGATGGCTGATAGTAACAGGTTGAAATTCATGATGGTGAACAAACAAATATCGATGTAGTTTCAGATCATTAAGCGCTTAAAATGCACCACTGTTAAATAAAGAAGGCAATGAAAGGTGTAATTGATAACAGATGAGTGTCTGCACTCAGGCAGTTTTCCACAGTGTTGGATACTCGGATTTTATTCGTCAAATATCCATCGTTAACTCAATTAAACATGGACTAAGATTCGATTTGTTCCGCCTTTTGCCTCCGGGCCAGCACGCTCGCAGATAATTACTGCAAAAACTCTTATCTTCGCGTCTTTTTTTATGATGAGGTTTTCCTTCTAAAGAAGTTCAGATTTTTAGTATGTTCTTTTTAAAGTATTAAAAACGTAAATGGTTTTAAAAAAATTAAACTACTTTAGCAATTAAAGATATTTCATCAAATTTCTACTTATTTCTTGTAAATTTATCAGGGGCGGCCGGTGCCGGGGAGCACAAGGGCACGTGCCCCCCAAAATTACAACGTCTACAAACACACTGGACATAGCAAAATAGTAATTTCCAATATTTAAAAAATTATCCGGAAATTTGTGTCATAATTATCAAAACTAATTTTTTTATCTCGCTCCACTTGTATAAAATGTATCAAAACTTACTTCCACTTGCATCTAAAGATGTGTCTTGGATATATCATATGTAATTTCTATTGAAATGCTGATTAAAAGTCCGGCACAGAGACCGAATGGACCGAATCATGGCTGATTTAGATGTTTTGTTTACACCGTTGCCATGGAAACTACACGTCGTAGCCGCCTGATATGCGTCTGATACAACTGGATTGTGAGCCCGTTGCGACCGTGCTCTGGAGGATTGAGTTACTATCGCGGGTTTTAATTTCCATTCTGCGCAAACATGTATGATAAATATTCTTGGATAATCTTCTCGGTAATACAGACATTCGGAAACAACTACACACCGCTTATATTAATAATATTCGGGCACATAACGCAAGGGTCGACAAAAATCGCCATATATTACGCCGATTAATTTTATGGCTGCACTGGACTTTATCAGATCATTTGAAAGAAGCAATGGTTTTTAAAGGAACGCCTAAAACTGTCCAAAATGAACTTTTAGATGCCATGAACACCGAAGGCAGAAAGGTATGTGGAGAAATCCTTTTTTATTTTTATTGAATGTATTTTTGTATTTATTTCCATCACACAATTTCGTCTATTAATTGGTAATAAGAACCTGTTTTAAATCTTCAAATTTAACTCATCAATCAAATTGTGTGCCCCCATTTCAAAAGGTCACCAGCCGCCACTGAAATTTATCAGAATCCTTATTTTTTGTTTAAAATTCCAAGCAAATAATAGTACGTAAAAATATTGTACCTAAACAAGGTTAGAAATATTCTTTTTTAACATAACAAAGGCGCAAGGATGGGGTAGTTTGTATACTGATTTCCATAAAAATCCAAACACCTTGAATTAGTTGACTGATAAAACTGAAAGTTTTACCAAATAGGTATGCATTAAATCGAACTAAAGAAATGATTAAAATAACAGACCTAAAGCTTGTGAAATAAAAAATGTATTCAATAATGTGTGGGTCCACCTTGATTTCTAATGCACTCATGTACTCGGCGAGGCATGCTTGGAAGAAGATGGTTTATGGTGTCCTGTGGGATCTCGTCCCAAGCTTCCTGAAGCCGCATACGAAGGTCATTTAAATTATTCGGGGATGCTGCAAGTTACTACACGTGTGCCCATGATATCCCACACATGTTCGATTGGTGACAAATCTGGTGAACGAGCAGGCCAGTGGAGAACTTCAACATTATGTTGTTGAAGGTACTCTTAGGTAAGGAACTGCAATCGGCTCCAGTACGATGTATTCTCTTCCATTCAAATTTCCCTGAATGAAAACTAGAGGGGACCTGCTACCTTGCGTTATTGCCCCCCAAACCATCACGCCTTGTGTGAGAGCTATATGGCGTTCAACAGCGAAATTCAATTTCGGCGTTCTTCACGTAATCGCCTCACCCCCCTACGTCCATCGTGAGCCCAAAGACAAAACCGGGATTCGTCTGAGAACACTACCCGATTCCATTCGTGGTCCCAGTTTGCTTGCTCGTTGCACCATTGCAACCTACAAGCACGATGTCTTGATGTCAATGGGAAGCAAAGATATGGTCGATATGAACGCAACCCAAACGACCTTATTCGGCGATAAACTGATGACATGGAGGACGTATGCTCCAACGCACCCATCCGATCAGTTGTAATTGCATGAGTGGTAGAACATCTGTCTCGTAGGGCAGCAAATCGTAGGTGACGGTCTTCGCGTGTTGACGTTCTTTGAGGACGACCAGATCCACGAATTTGCTCATGACTCCTTCCTCAGACCACCTCCTCCAACACTGCAACACCGTTGAAACACTACGGCCTATACGGTCCGCAATTTGCGGTACTGAAAAACCGGCTTTTCTCATACCGACAATGTGGCCTTTTTCAAACTCACTCAAAGGATGAAAATGAACCGGCTCACGACGTCTTGGCATTTTTCACCTTGTTTTATACGCGATGGCCCTAAAATTTTCTACACAACTAACGCAAATCAACTAGCAAAGCAAAATTCTTCTAGACGAAACGTTATTTGCAAAAGGTAAAAAGGGTAAGATAACGTTAATGGTTTTTGTTGAAATTTTAATCATTTCTTCCATGACTGTCTCCATATTGGACCCGATAATATGAACAAAATGGCTCAACTCCTTCGAGGTGTTCGGATTTTTATGGAAATCAGTATATGATAACCAAGGCGTCTGACCATCATAAGTGGGATGGTTGAATTGTTCTGGGGCTCCATACCACGTTATATGAACCAAATGTTGCATTTTTCATTATTTTTTCAAATTTCTTCATTTTACTCTCCATTCGATCTTCCATGGTTTTCATTCAATCTTCCATAATGTTTTCTATTTGGTCTTCTATGGTTTTCATTCGATCTACCATACATTCCTGCACTGATTTCTCCAACTCACTCTTTAGCTGATGCTCGACTTTCTCTCTTATTTTTTGGTCCATTAAGATTATATTTTCTCCGACATTTTGGATAACTTGCAAATTTGCTTTAATGTCGTTCATTCATTCGGTCTTGAATTTCTGTTATTTCATTTTTGTTTGCTTCCACGTCCTTTAGGAATCTTTCGGTTAGTTTGCTTTGCTTATTTATTTTCACGTCCATTTTTTCGTTCATTCTTTCATCTCTTGCGTCCATCTTATCGTCGATTGTCTTGTTTCTGGCGTCCATTTTTCGGTCCATTTTTTCCGTTCCTGTATTCATTTTTTCCATTTTTGCGTCCATTTTTCATCCATTTCTTTGTTTCTTGTATCCATTTTTGCGAGCATAACCATGATCTGCTTTACTTGTGCCTCCATTTTCGCAGCTTGAGCTCTAGTCTCAACAAGCATCAGTGTTCAAAATTCTTGTCGAATCTGTCCGTAAATCTTCGTAAAACCAATTATTAATCTCGAATCTCACTTCCGATACCAGTTTTATGCTACTCGGTAATCAAAAATCGGCGAGGGTTAAACTCAACAATTTATTTCTCGGTAATACAAATTTATATGCCTAACAACACAGCGATTATAATTCCTCAACTTAGACTCTAATATTCTCGCGCTGACTAACCTAAAAAGCTGACTGCGCTCGAGGGTGGTCTCTATTCAAACCCATACGATCCTTTCTGGATGGTTCGCCGCCATCACTTCGAGCTCATTCTGGAGGCGTCGGCCGAGACTTTCGCAGAATCGTTTCTAGGCGCTTCTTTTAATCGAACCCCTCCCGACCGCCGTCACCGATGATGAGTAACCAGTCATCGCCGTACATACTAGAAATCCCTTGAGAAAACCCATAGGCGTCGTAGTGCGGCGGCGTATGGGTTTATTTCGTAACAATATGATTACTGAAAAAAGTTGACGAAAGAGTCTACAACTAAGAATGCATTCTTCAATTCTGTTTTCTTTGACATCGGTGTAACTGTAGAAACTCACAACCTATACAATTTTGTTTAAAACAATTCATTCATTTCGTTTCAAAATATTTTTTATTATACCTGCATCAATCCTTGATTAAAACTGATTACCATTTCTTAACTGAAAACTAGTAGTAACTTCTGCATTTTCACTATTTGGTTGAAAGTCTATATATGTTGATGAAGTTAGTTGATTCAGCAACAGATGTGTTAAGAACACCAGCAATGCGCTTGGAAACAACTATTTTGTTTAGAGTGGATTCTTCAATATAGCCACTAGCCACGCTCGAAGATTTCCACCCTACTTGACGTTTCAGCTCATCCACGCTCACTCCACTATTTGCCATGATCATAGCCAAACTTAGTCTAAAAGCATGACCAGTGTATTTCTCAGCGTTTGAGAGATTCAGAAAATGGGCTACATGAAAAGGACATTTTCCAAAAGTATTAATTCCAACGATTTGCTTCGTGCATTTTCCATTGGCATACTTCAAAAACACTCTATCTGTAGTTAGATTTTCTGGACGGAGTGACAGATATTTGTTGAATAACTTGACATACGATATGTCAGAGTCATCAATAACCGCAAATTTTCGGCCTTTTTCCGTTTTAGATGGACGAATAGTGATTAATAAAGCAGGACCCTCTCTCTTAATGTCAGACATACACAAATCACAGAGTTCATATCCTCTACATGATCCAAATATACCACAAATAGCTACAACCTGAAAAGCAATAACATTGATTAACAAATTTAAATGTTTTTAATCATTTCGGAGGCTTTCACGGTCGAAATCAATACATGATCATTTTCCGGGTTGGAACCGTGTAAATTGAGTTTTTGGGCTCAATGTTTCTCACACTTTCGTAAGTGGCATATTCAGGAGCAGGGTTAAGAATACGGCAAAAAAGCACCGTAACTCAGTATGTCAACCATACCAGAGGCGAAACTCTTTTGAGGGGAAGAATTTGGTTACGGCCTATTTAAAGCTTTTGAAGACACAGCCATTGAATCCGCCCAACTCAAACCCAAAGTCTGGTTCCGCTACATGGCTGACACATTTATCATATGGCCCCATGGTCAAAACGCCCTTTTAGTCTTTCACGACCATCTCAACAGTCAACACCCCGACATTCAGTGTAAACATGGCAACATGGAAGTGGAAACCAACAATTGTCTTCCTTTCCTTGATGTTATGGTAACAAGGTTACCCGAAGGTCGACTTGGTCATTCAGTCTATCGAAAACCTACCCATACCGATAGATATCTTCACGCTACGTCTCATCACCACCCCGCCCAAAAACGGTCTGTCATTGACTCCCTAATTCATCGAGCCATTACGATTTGCCAACCGGACAAACTCCAAAATGAATTAGTATATCTCCAAACATGTCTTCGACAAAATGGATACGACCACCACACTATCAAGTCAGCCATCCAACGTCGACTTAATCCCAACTCTGAAAACACTTCAAAAAATCGCCCAACTGATCTCGTATCGAATGCATATCTCCCATGCATTTCTCAGGTCACCAACCGTCTGGCCAAAATAGTTTAAAAAGCAAAAAGTTAAAGCAGTCTTCAAACATGCAACTAAAATTGCACAAATTTTTCCTTCCGTCAAAGATTCTCGCCAAGTTCTAGACTGTAGAGGAATATACAGCATTCCCTGCTCCTGTGTTGTAAAATAGATAAGAGAAACTGGTATGGTTAACATACTGAGTTACCGTGCTCTTTTGCTTTGTTCTTAACCCTGCTCCTGAAGATCCCACTTACGAAAGTGTGCGAAATGTTGACCCCAAAAACTCAATTTACACGGTTCCAACCCGGAAAACGATCATGTATTAAATATGTTTTAAATTGGTACTTACTTGCAAAAACAAGAACGTATCATCTGGGGCTTCGGTAAAAAATGTACTTAACTTCTTCTGGAAATACCAACGATTTTTTAGGCTCATAACCTTTGTTAATTCCTTTCATAAAAGCATGGAGTTTATGAAAATCAACTAAATTAACTCCTTTTTTAATTCTCAACATTGAAATTTTAAGTGAATACGATTTATATTGACTTGACTGTAAAGAATTAAAAAATTAGTGGTAAAAATTTAATAAATTACCGTTTTACCATTTCATGTAAGCAGGCATCACTGTTTCGTCCACAACGTCGGAATTTTTTCTTGCCATCCATTTCACTAATCTGTCGTATTCTTTACAGTACGCAACTTGGAATTTCTCAGGAATTAAACTTAATTCTGCTTGTTCTGCCAATTTTTTTATATCTTCATTCATTTTGTACCAATTCAGGAAGGTTTTTGCTTGATTTTTTTGCTCAAACATAATAACGTAAACAAACAATTTCTGTATAACTCTGTTATAACTAACTCTATGGAAACGATTGGATTTCAAAACCATCACATACAACCTTTGATCATTACAAATTTATTATTTTCATTCTAATTTTCACATTGTAGTGCAGGTATAATAAAAAATAGCGTATAATACTTGTGTATAAGCTCCTTTAAAACACTAACGACGATAAAAGCACTCCGCTAACGCGTCATGCTTTTAAACCCGTCGTGCGTGTTTTAAAGGATTGCTTATACACTCGTATTATAATATACTACAGACAAGCGAACAAAATGTTGGCAATTTGTTGTTGGATGTTGGCAATATTTTTCTTGGATACAGCTATTTGTATCTGGATACATGTTTTCAACAGTATTATACTTGTCTAAACCAAAACAGTTCGTCGTTCCAAACCAAACTCAGTTTTGAACTAAAAACGGAAGAGACTGTTTTTGCTGGCGCTAGTGCTGCTTTTATCACAATAGCTGCACACACCCAAAAACGAAAAAGAAGGCGGTGCCAAAGAGACTTTTTAAAAAATTGAACAAGCCATGGCGGCAACTTGATGTCTGAATTACTTTTTAACGATGGTAGCTCGGTCCGCAATTTGGTCAGAAAAACAAACATTTAATTTTTTTAACGTTATGAACAGCTTACACGTGGCGCACTCTTACACATACAGAGTTTAAATGAAACTCTAAATATATATCAAGAATATTAACATACATATTGGTAAGTAAGTACCTAAACCAATATAGGTAAATTTTCTCAACTTGCCACATCATCACTATGTCCATTGTAACTTTGATTACCCCTGGGCAGAATCACTTAAAATTTAACTTTCACTATAGTTAAAATATCACTGGATTAAATGGCTCAAAAAAGCCACTCAGCCCTACTCATACGCATCCTCTTTCTGGCTAGTAGCCGGAAAATCGTTACAAAAACGGCCCTAATTGGTGAAATTGTTTCCTGATTAACACAAACGGTATTAATTAACGTCATTTGAATGGGCAGTGAGGACGCGAACGAGCGTAAACAGAAGCCGTGCGACAAAGCAGTGTCCCTGTTGACGGTAAGAATACCGATTGATCAGCCGAATGAGCTAGTATCGGGTGCAGACCGTGGAATAATTTAACGATGCGCCCCCTGGATTTACGCGTGGACCCCTACCTGCCCGATATTACAATATTTACGATATTACAACCGTCGCTGCACGTGTGCGCATTTCGATGGGCACTTGAACGTTCTAAAAACTGGCCGTTTTTTCGAATACTGATATATAGGTAGTTTGTGCTAATCTCATCAAAGGGGTGTCTTTAGCACCGTGCCAGTATTTACATACATATAGGGAGATGAGGTGCGTTTGAGGGATTGGTGTCGGTGTATTGGAACTAATAGGTGCTGAGCACGGCTCGCGACGCGGTCATTTCACCGGAAAACCGTTTGGTGTTGACAAATCAGGCGTACTTTACACTCGTATCGTCGGACTCAACTAACTGAACATTACTGCATTACATTGGCCCGAACCACCTGTTTCGGCAAGTCTTGTGTTTGCAAAAAACGACAAGTCACGGGAAGTATACGTGATAGAAAAGACGAGAAAGTCGAGAGTCTACAGCCCTTGTTTTGGTAAAATTTGGAAACAATTTAATAAGACAAATGAAACTTATCATAATGAATGTGCATACTAGGAATAAGGGTGGCCGATACGGTCTCTTCAATGCCAATAATCGATATTCCATTGCATCGAAATCCCACCATGCCGGAAAGTATCAAAATTGCACGTATCATTATAAACGCTATATATAGTTAAAATCCGAATGTATCGGTAAAATGGATATTGCAGTGTAATGAACAAATGTTACTCTATATACGTAGTTTTGTTTCATTTAAAAATCATACCCTAAAAACATCAAACGTGAATATTAAATGCTCTATTGTTTGATATTGGAGATATTAAATTTTGAAATTGTATTGAAAATCTCATGCGGCAAAGGCAGAGACTCTTAAATTACTGTTCGAATTAAAAATTGTTAACAGATAAGGACTAGTAGCAATATTTCCTGTTTTCAAAAACACGTCATTTTTTCCATAAAATTTAATGTTGAAAGATTCGTAATTGAAAATTCAACTTTTGTTTAGCCAAACAGCTGGAAAGTACATTTTTGGCCAGAAAATCTTGGCCAGTATTTTTCTGACGTTTAAAAAAAACACGATGTAGTCTATGCTTTATTGTCATAATGACTGACACTTTTATAAAATAAACTTTGGCATACGTCATCATCCACATTCCAGTCTACGTCAAGAGGACAAACATGGCAAATTTGAGGTTATAAGTACGTAAAGCCTGTTTTAGAGCTTATGTCACTCGAATGACAGAACTGCCCAAGATTTTGTGGCCGAAACTGTAAAACTAATAACAGATTTTGTAGGAAAAGTTTAGACCTCCTGCCTCATGTAAAATTTAACTTGACAGTTCAGAAAAAAAATTGTTCGCCCATAAAGCACAGCATTTCAAATCGTTTCGAGAAATTAAAAGATCTGATTTTGCGAATTTTATTTTTTATGAGAACTCTTATAAATTAAAATAAAGATATGTAGGTGTGTGATATTCAAGTAAAGGTAAAGAAGTATGCTACGCATTTTTTCAAGTGAGTTTTTCCATTACAAAATTTTGTAATGACGTCATCAACATTTTTGGGAGGACACATATCAATTTAGATAAATGCAGTGTAATACTAATAATAACAATACTGTATCCCTAAATTTTCGAGAAAATAGAAGTAAATCCTTTTTGAATCTGGATTTAATCAATAAAATAATGAAACAATTTAATCACGTCCGTCGTGTGTAGTAGCAGAGCTGCAACTAAATGAAAAGTATTTATAAGTACTAGTAATTTAAAATAAATAGCTGTAACGCTAGTCGAGACTGTACACGTAAGAGTGAAACAGAGGAATTAAACAAAATGACATTTTCTACGAATTGCAATAACCGGATCAGAATGCGATGGACTCGATTACTATACTTCCTTTGACTACGCTCAATAAGTAAAAATGGCCTCTCAGCAATAATAACAACTTGAATTGTTGTAACGTTTTCACGTGACAACTACTTAGAAGTCGCCTTCCCGCGCCGGTGCTCAAGTACCAGGAGCGAACTCTTATGACTTCTTTACCTTTTAAAACTCAATACTAAATCGGAGAAAGAGAGGGTGCCACTCAGTCGTTAAAATCTCAGAGAGATTAGGAGGTAGGGCTGAATCTACTCAAAACTGGACGATGATTTTGAGGCGCCTTTAAAAAAAAACTCCTAACTTAAACAATTCAAAATATGTAATTACTGAAAGGCTGGAAAATGTAAATGAACAATTTTTCGTAGTATTCTAAAATAACAGATTATAATTTAAATGAAGTAACAACAAAGTGGTGGTATGTGTTACAAATCTAATAATTAAGTGATTCAAACCTGTGGTTACATCGTGACAATGCTTACTGTAGTGGCGTTAGCAATTTTTGTTGTTACGCAAGAGTGTCCAAAATAGTACCTGAACTTACGGCTGCTTCAACACTTCCCCCCAAATGTAGCTATATTCGTAGTTAGCATTTACGTAACAGGTGATCTTACGCAACAAAGAGTACAAAAATGAACGATTCGCAGCTAAATGAACGTACTAGCAATTATACACTAAAAGCCGCTTATCTATTTTTACTATAAAACGACAAAACTTTTTTACTATAAAACTCTTATTCTTAGGCAAAACTAAACCCACTATTTCTGCGAGAGACTGGAATTTACGAGGACGCACAAGAAAGCACAACGGTTAAATTCAGAACCATCAAAAAGTGTCAGTAAATTAGAATCCTTTAACCGCCGAATATATGCAATTTATGAATTTTTGAAATCTTTATAGTAATTGTAATATAATGTTACAGTGTTTATGTTTATACATCGGAAGAATGTCATGTAGAAATTAGTTTGATTTTTATTAAGTAAGCCACAATCGACTGTTCTGAATATCATTAATATCATGATTAATGGTATATTATAATTCTTATTTAATCATTCATTATTAAATAAATACGTTCGTATTCTCACATTCTCGAAAAAATTGGGTGACACGTTCTTAATTTGATCAACAAAAAATTAGAACATGATAAATTTTATTAAATTTATTGTATCTAATAAAAAAAAGATTTGCCGTCCACTATTTTCAACCCGTCAACCGTGGGTCTGTGAAGCAGAAAATCCACTACTGAGCCACGTATGCTGTAAAACGATTTCGTATTACGAGTATGTTCGTAAAGAACAAGGCGATTAAACAATAAAAAATGTACTCGTAGTATTAATAAACAAAATCAAGATAAGACTCGTAAACCACAAGTACAGGAGTATATTATTTCATACATTATTCAATATAATGAGCGAACGTCATCAAATTGTTAGTGGGGGTGATTAATTCAATTTTGGTTAGCGTTTTACCATCTACATGGTATTCATAATTTCTAATAAAAATCCGGACAGACAGGTAGACAGAACAGACGGACGGTCGGATGGACGAACGGACGGACGGACGAACAGACGGATGCACGGACAGACAGAGAGACAATCGGAAATGAGAGACCTATTTCTTCATACTCTAGGGAGTCTAGGGGTCATGAAAGGTCGAAATTATAATACTTCTTCAGCTTACGTTCAGGAAATAAAAATCTAACTTTTTTGTTTTTAGTGAATGTTTGGACAGTTAAAACTTGGAGTTACAATAGATTCTGAGAATCTGAGCTGATTGGAGTGCTTTCCTACTAGAATAGTTCTGTAGAAGAAACCATTAAATCAAAATTAATAAATAAGTTGGAGATAGCAATCGAAGCAGTAGTGCTCGGGACCGTGTACACCTACCATTAAATAATTTTGCAAAATGGAATAAGTATGTACTCTGG